CCCAAAAAAAAAGGTGGGTTGTTCTAGAAGTCAGTACCATTTAGGATAACTTTTGCATAAATACGAAAAGGTAAGAGCATGCATGCTTCTTCCGCGAGCCGCCTTCAGGCTTGGGGGTGCTGGGGACTGCTCACCTGATGCTCAGGTCATAACTCCCGCTCAGAAGAAAGTTGTCCTCCTCACACAGGAAGAGGGCGCGGACGCTCCCGGCATGGCCTCGGAGTGTGATGGGGACCTCCTTCACTTGTATGACGTCCAGAAGCTGGATCTTCCGTTTGGAGGACACAGCTAGCAAGTCTCCCCCAGAGTAGTGGATGATTCTGTTTCGGTCCCACCTGAGTTGCCGGGGGGGAAGGATGAGTCATGAAGGAAGGGTTGGTGTCCTTCCCGGAACTCCCTCAGCCCAGTGCCTGTCACCTGCAGCAGTGGGAGGACGGAAAACCCGGGGCCTTCCAACACCGGAGGCAGCAGAAGGCTAGACCTCGTGTCAGCAGGCCCTGGTGGAGCCCCCACCTCACACCATAACAAAAGCCTACTTCAGGTGGATTTAAAACCTAAGGACAAAAGGCCAGACTGTTTTTTCCTTAATTCTGCTAATGTATGACAAGTCCCCAAGGGAGATAAAAGAGTCGTAGCGTTTCCCAACTTGTTAGACCGTGGAAACCTTTTTTCATGGAAAACCTCAGATGAACACGCTTGGGAAGCCCTAGACCCACTGCACATCCCACTGTTTCCATCTTTCCCCCCTTTAACCAACATCTACTGGGCATATTTTAGGAGCAAAGTCCTGGGCTAACAGGTGCTAATGGGAAATTCAAAGATGAATAGGGTATGGATGGACCTTGCCCCTCAATGAGCTGATAGTCTGTGAAACAGGGTGAGTTGAATTAATTTTCCAATCATAAGAGCATCAGCAAATAGATGGAATATGAGCAGGATGACTGAATAATTTATTGTCCAAAGTGAGATTTTTTTTCATTGTGAAAGGAGACACTATTATTAATTCAAGGACCACAGAGTGAAGTGGGATTGTTCCAGTAAACAGGGATTTATAGTCACCCTGAATATGAGGAGCAAATCCTGACGTTTTTGTCCTCATTCCATTTGTCATTTCTAGAGTTCGAGCTGTCATCCTCTCTTCTAAAGAGCACGTATCACCACGCTCTCCGTAAAAACTCAACTTTGCCTTCCCCCTGCCTGCTCTGTCTTCCCCCTCCTGGCTGGTCAAAATGCAACTTGTTAGTGAGGTTCACGGCCAAAAATAAAATAGAGATGGCCTTCCCAAAACTTTATGAATAAAAAGTGAATCCTAGGTCTAAAGCAGAGCAGAAAGTTGATGATTAATGGGGCTTCTTCTGGACTATTTAAATGAAGTCACACCTCACAGTTATCATAAATGCCATTTTCATATTTACGATGGACAGACATTCCAGTGCTCTGCTGGAGTCGGGGGCGCAGCACAGCCCTGCATCTCCTTAAAATATGTGTCCATACACGCAAAGAAGAAATTCTAGGATCAACAGCAATGTCAACGGTAGTTATCTCTGTGTGGCAAGGCCGTGGGACAACTTTCCTTTTCTCTAGACATTTTCTGGCTTTTAGTGGATTTTTTTCCCAATAAATATATATTACTTCTAAAATTAGAATAAAGCAATAAATACAGTTTTAAAATATTTCGCGTGTGTGCAAAAGGTCGTTGGTCAGTCCGCCCCTTTTATAAGGGGAGAGCGTCCTCCAGCAGCTGCCGGGAAAGGTGCAACAATCAAGCACCTATTCCCCAAATGGGGTCTCGTGCTGTTCTGGAGCTGGAGCTTGTGGGGTGGGGGGACCACTGCCTCTCCAGGTGAGCGAGGGTCGTGGGGACCCTAAGCCAGTGTGGTAATTCAAGGGTCCCTGGAGACCTGGATTCCGGCCTCCGTACCTACGTGTCAGAGAGAATGCGGATATTGTAAGTCCCGCAGAAGACATTCCTCTCCTCCATCTGGACCTGCTGAGTTTCCTGGCTCTGGTATGCGGTCCACAGGTTGTAGTCACTCTAACAAGGGAAAATCTGCAGTCAAAGTACAGTGGCAGCTTGACCCAGGGCCCAGACACACATCCCCGAGAGCCTCCCCTGGCAAGGGGCCACGGGCCCGCGACGCCTCTTCTTCAGGCTGTGGACGCTGCTGCATGGCGATGGGGAGGGGCCGGCAAGCACAAGGAACCCACGAAGGAGAAAATTTTGAGTCAAGGATCCTAATTCTTCTTCCACCTCCGGTTTCAGGAACTTGTGATGTCAGCAACAGCACAACTTTTCCAAAGATGAGCTCACAACCAGGAAATCAGGATGCATGCACAATAAAGCTGCAGGTGCCCCCTGACTGGCCGTTTCACCGCAGCTTCACAGTCACATCGTGTATTCGTGACGGTCCGGAGAGACTCAAGTCACACGTGAAGTTACGCCTACACACCCCAGGTACTTGTGTGGCTAAGTTTCTGCACACCTGCAGCCTTCACTTCCCCCTGCAGCAGCCTCACAAAGCACATCACCTGCCCCCAAAGTGTTCTCATCATTTTATAGATAAGCTGTCTGAGCCTCGGAGAGGGGAAGCCGATTTTGTCAAGTCTAAACAGCG